ACGAATCGTGTCATTCTATGATACCGGCAGGATGTTCGAATAATAGCGAAAACACGCGGGCGTGTCCAGGTATGTTACCCGGTATCTCACCTGCCCACACGTGCGCATTCTGCTTCTGCCTGCTTTCCTGCTTGGGAGCGCATCGCGCGATATACAAGGAACGTGCGCGCCGGTGATGTAAATCGTTGCATTGTCCATTATAACTATCTCTGCGCAGGCGAATAACTTTTACTAACGACGGGATTAATAAAATTGAGATGTCAAGATTAGTCTTGACATCGTCTTCTTGATAATTAAAAATCTTGTCTTGAATTTCTTGAAAAATTATTAGTCTTATCAAGATTATTGATTTTTTAAAAAAAGCTAAAATATATGTGCGCTGAGAAAAATCGTTTGATTGTATCAACAAGACGTATATGATTGAAGGCATTTTGGTTAAATCAAACAAGAATTTCTAGTTATCATGATAAAACTCGATTTTTTATAACTAGAACGTTTAATAGATTTTAATTAATTAAATTAATAAAATTAATTTAATTAATTTTATAAGGATTTGGTTAGTATTTTCTAATTGAATTTATAAAATTTCTTGTTACATTAATTTCTTTGCTTGTCGCTAGGCTACTCTTAACTTAACTCGTATTCAATATTTGCCATGAAATGTATATAAAGAACTAGTATTAACATTAAATCCAAACTATATTTTTTTTCTCTTACGAGCAATAGTGCCAGAAAGAGGACGCTAGCACTCTGATTGTATGTGTTTGAGTTGCATCCTCTTCTTGCATCACTGTTTATCATTTAAAATAATTTATTCAATAATCTGGATTGAATTTATCTAATAATCTTGTTAGAATTCAGAATATTAAACAGACTTTTGAGATTAGATGGAAAATATTTTAGACAACTTGGTGCTGGGGAGTTTAGTATTATTAACCAGAAAATTTGATAAATTTAACAGGAAGAAATTAATCAGATTCATCTGGTAATTCCTACAAGAATTCTGGTTCGTCCATTTTCCAACAGACATACTGGTTGAATCTACCAGAATTCTAATTAATGCAACCAGATTTTTTTCTCAGTGCGAGTAATTAAATAATATTTAATTCTTGCATCACTGTTTATCAGTTTAATTTCTAACAAACTAAATTTAAAATAATTTATTCAATAATCTGAATTGAATTTATCTAATAATCTTGTTAGAATTCAGAATATTAAACAGACTTTTGAGATTAGATGGAAAAAATTTTAGACAACTTGGTGCTGGGGAGTTTAGTATTATTAACCAGAAAATTTGATAAATTTAACAGGAAGAAATTAATCAGATTCATCTGGTAATTCCTACAAGAATTCTGGTTCGTCCATTTTCCAACAGACATACTGGTTGAATTTACCAGAATTCTAATTAATGCAATTAAATTTTTTCTCAGTGTGTATATTTGTAAATTAAATGATAGAAAAAATGAACTATATTATACGAACTTAAGCAAATTTATTTAATAAATAAAAATGTTTATATATTAACAATTTTAAAAACAATTAATACAATAAACAAAATAAACAATAAAAGATTTTACATAAAACTATAGCACATGTACAAAGTTCTTTGGGTGCGTGCGCTTGCATTTAGCCATCTGTATTCTATATATAATTACCTTTTCATACCAATAACGAATATTTAATAATATATAATGTTTTTTGGGAAGTAAACAGAATGACACATAACTAATAATTATCTGAAATAATTATATATTATAAAGATTATGTTAAATATTATTTTAATTGTTCAGTATTAAATAAAAATTGTTAATAAAATCGAGACAAGACAAAATACAAGACGAAATTTTTGCAAAGATTCATTCAAACCAAGATTTATAAATTTTTGAAAATTTTCAATACCAACACAATATTTTTATAAACATTATCTTATCTTAAATCTTGTACAACTCATATATTATTTTCTTTTCTTATTATGCACTAGTAAATTGTCAAAATCGTTGCGCAATAAATACTGAATTACATCGATTTTTCGAATTAGACAGACGAGAATTTACATACTTGCGACCAACGTTGGTGGTGCAACCGCACTCCCAAGTCGTGTAAAAGCGGATGACCTCGCGGAGTCATGGACCGCGTTACTTCCGTCGTTTGTTCGTTTCTGTCTCAGGAATTTTTGCGCCGGCAGGTATGATATTGTTTCTCAAAATCTTTCCTTCCAGGACTAGACAATCGCGCTATCATCGCGGAACGCGTGTCTGAAGAATGCTATAATAAATGAAACCTAACTCTACTCTTTAAAAGTGAATCAGTGAAAATATCACTAATTTAAACAGTAAAATAAGATTTCACTGAGAATCAGTGAGTATTTTACTGATCTTCAGTGGAAACGTTTATTTTTTGTTATTTTATCTTATATCTCACTGATTATAGTCAGTTAAAATAAAATTCACTGTAAAATCAGTAAATTTTACTGTAAAACCAGTAATCGCTAGTTCGTTCATTTACCGCTACAATCGCTATCTCTCTTGTATTTAATTTTAGTTATAAGAATTATATAAAGTTTGCAAAGAGCGACATTTAAAATTAGAAGTATTACTTCGATTTAATTTCTGATACAAGTTCAATAGAGAGGCTTCAGATATTAAATCGTTCTTTATAAGTCGGACAACTAAATGTCTGGCGACTTAATAAAAATTATTTGTTCGTTATCTATTTAAAATAACAAGTTCAATATGCATGTAATATAAATAAAATAAAATTTTTAATATAATAAATATTTAGTAAATATAAATAAAATTTTTAATTTTATATGAAATAGATAGAGAGATGAATTCTATTTAAATATTATTGACAATAACAAAAGAAATATTACTGATATTGAGAAATATTACTGATTGAAACAGTCAAAATTAATTGATTCTTTCAATAAAATATCACTGATTTACAGTGCTATACTGCTGTAATCAGTGATTATTTACTGTTTTTCAGTGATAATACACTGATTCACTTTTAGAGAGTAGGCGCTTCTATCTTCGAAGCGGTGCGCATCATCGTGAATCGAGGATTTATCAGCATCGACAACTAATCGTTCACGCAATTACAAAAGATAAAGCGGGGCCTTTCAAAAGAGATTTCCGCGTTACGGTTTATATTATAGTGATTACCAATGACATCGGTATTGCTTCTTGTTTTTGCTTTTAAGAGAATGTCTTATTTATATAATCGCAGATAATTATCATTATAGATAATTATCATTACATCATTGTAATAAAAAAGAGCGAGCAATATCTCATGAATTAGATATGCAGACGATTACATCTAAAGCTTGTGTTAAGAATGGACTTGCACTTTCGTTTTGTGCTTAAATATCCTGCTCGAATTGAAAACTGATGATTCACTTCTAAGTCACTTGCAATGTTTCAGTGATTTGTAGTCTTGCAAGTTTTTGGAAAGGTTAAAAAATAGTCTGATTGATAATGTAAACTAGTTGACTGTAAACTTTTTTATTTAGGATAATTAATGATGAGAAAATATTGTCATCTTCAAATTTAAGATTAATCCCTGAAGCAAGACCAGACTTTTCTAAAAATATTCTAGACTTTTTTAAAAATATATCAGTTAAATGTTATTTTTGTTTTCTTTCTATATGTCGTACTTTATGAATACATATTTATCGAAGCTTCCAAAAAAAGAAAAAAGGCTGATGTCATTAAAATAATGTAAAAGACAAACGTAAAATAATGATGAATTAATTTACGTAGAAAATTGAATGCAGAATTATATAAAGCTTAATTTTTTTTCTTATAAAGTTTTAGATGTTATGAAGCTTAATGTTCTTCTGCTTTTCAATTCATTCTAGATAGTTCTATAATTGAATCATTATGCACCTGACGACGAGTTGAAGTGTAATTTGTATTCCGTACGTCGATTGTGTACACACGTATAACGTTTGCTGCACGTGAAAACACGTATCCGTTATAGTAACACAGTGAACCGATCCAGAATCTGGTCCTTGTTCCAGACATGGATTCGATACCGCCAATTCATGCAATGAATTCACGCTAATGACTTACGGTCTCTCAAAAGTAGAACAGCGCGACTTTTCGTACTCTGTCTGATCAATCGATGTCAGTTTTCACTTGTATCACTCATGCGACAAAAAAACGATAATTTCCTCGAAATAATTTTATAAGAGTGATTATTATGCCTCATATTTTTCACTCTGAAGGCCTGTTATTACCCAAAGATTACTATGATTTTAACGTTAGTTAAGACTTAACTGACATTTTAGAGAGACAACTTTGTAAATTACGAGTCTCAGCTACACGGACCGAATTCTAATTTATCGATGTCGTACCGGCTATTACCGATATTTACATTTCTGCGAAAAATCACCATTTTCCTTCGTTTTCTACGAATTCGCGATGTAAGTGTAAATCTACGCGACAGATCTCTCTCCCACCAGATTTATGTAAAAAAGGACATACATTTTATAGATGTGTTTTGCAAAAATATCAATATATATCAATCTATATATCATTTAAAATATGCGTTTAATTTAAAATAAAACACAGAAAAAAACAAACATAATACAAATAATATTTTATGTGTGAAGGAATTAAATTTAAGGTTGTACGATATTGTGGCGATCTTTCAAAATACACTACATCTTTCAAATGTATAATTAAAACATTTATCACTTAAAATTGAAAATGGACAAAAAAAAAACATAAAAATATTATTTCGTATAACAAAAAAAAAATTTAATTTAATTAACTTTTTTGACAAATTTAAACTGCTGCAAATATAAAAATATAATTACAGTATTGTAAATCGATTCAAGTATATGATGAATATATTTCGTCGATTGAAAATTATTTCGAAGAAAAAGATTCTAGTTACCAAAAAAAAAAAAATAGAAAACAATTCATTAATCCAAAGAAAGAAAACTTGTTACAGCAAATGAAGATGAAAATTAAAACAGCAATCAAGATCCACTATGGCGTCTTCTAATCATCGAAATAGATATCTATCAATCTTGACACCTTAATATATGATGCGTGTATTATTTCGCGAAAAAGATATTCATTTTCATCCAGCGCAAAACTCGTGGGAAATGTCGATTGCATCGATTAAAATTTTCTTTTAATTCTATAAATAAGACGCAAAAAAATAACTGTTTTATTAGCTTTGCACACATATATTTTATGGATAAACGTTTTTATTGTGATTGCACATGATAGAGGATCCTGTGAGGTATTGTTACTTTAGAATAATGAAACACAGTTATACAATAAACTAAATAATATATTCTGTTTTACTCTTGTAATACAAAGGCTCGTATCAACGACGATGACTCATTCCTTTTTTCCGGCGCGCTCTCTGCTCACAGAAAAACTCTCTAGATCTTTAGCTCCTAGCCACGAACCGGTCATCTACAGTATCTCCATATCGCTAGTAATAAAAACAACTCCACAGATTCTTACATACGTTAAATTTGGGTATATAGAGTTCTGATTTATAAGATTTTTATGTATATATTTTAATAATTAAACTTAATGTTTACATAATATTTTCCCCTCATAATGTTGAACGTATAATATGCATAACAATTTTCTTCGATTTTTCCCACTGCATCATCTTGTTACACTCTTGCAATATCCACGTTATTTTTAAACGGCTGTTTGCATTTGATCGGGATGAATCTTATATGAACCGGATGAGCAGGATGCATTACTAAATCAAGCAATAATCGAATATTTTTTAAATACTCAACAGGTTCCAAGTAAAAATTATATATCAAAGGAGCTATCATAGCTTTCATCATCAGCAAACCGAGACGTTGACCTACAATTTGAAATTTATGATAAATTATCGATACGAAGAAAAACGAAAATCGCGATCAATTCACCTATGCAATTTCTCGGTCCTGCGCTGAATGGTATATAAGAATAAGGATGACGATTCTTTATCCTTTCGGGTAAGAATCTGTCTGGATCAAATACATCTGGATTTGGCCAAAAATTGGGATCTCTGTGAACTGCGTAGATATGAAGACCTATGGTCGTTCCAGCAGGTACGATATATGATTCTGAAAATTATTATAAAATTGAAAAATACTAAAATTCACGAAAATAAGAGCTTCTTTGAGAAAAATAAAATATAACAATATTGTACTCTTAAAATTCTAATTAATCTTACTTTTCATTCAATAATATATACTCCATACTATGTAACATATTCAAAAATATATGCAGCAAAAAGTGACTATAATTACGTAATTTTACAGCATCCCCAGTCTTGCGTAATATCCAAGACACGCTGGGATACAAACGTAGCGCTTCCTTTAAACATCTGTCTAAATATGATAAATTTTGTAATGACTTCGTGTTAAGTTTCCCTCCATTCTCTTGCATCACAGTATCGACTTCAGCCCTCACACGCTCCTGTGTCATCAATAATATAATGAAAATGTATTTCTCAATTCTGATTTTCAGTGCACAGATAAAAATAAATTCTTAATGAATCAAATTCTAATATATCTAGGAAAAATATATCGTAACAAGAACTTGATATCTTTATTACGTTGAATAAAAATCTTAACTTAAATTATATATCGCAATATATTGCGAGAAATAGGTACCTGGATATCTTTATGCTCAGCTAAGAGAAGTAAAGCAAACATTATGCCCGTCGCTGTAGTATCATGACCCTATAACCAACATCATATGCATATCGTTATATTGTTATACATACTTAGACATCATGTACAAAAAATTACTTAGATATCTTAGATATCATGTACTTAGATACATACTTAGATATCATGTACAAAAAAAAGTTTACAGGTACATACTGCAAAAATGAAAGTGTCAACTTCTTCTCTGATATCCAAATCAGTTAGAGAATTTTCTCGAGATGCCGCTATTAAATGGTCCAACATGGCTAGCCTATTTTTTTTAACTAAAAAAAGCATATTAATTACAATTTCACTTTTACATGCCACACTTTCATTATACAATAACAGTTCTTGTTTAAAATTTAAACTCTATTGTACAAATAATAATGATTTAATTTTACAGCAAACATATGTTGTATTATTACATGTGATTATGTGTTGAATATAAATAATGCAAGCATAATGTATTATATTAAATTAATTGCGCAGCCAAACTTAAATTAGAAGCTCTGATCTCTTACGTACTTCCAAACACTTCGAAATTTTCTGTCTCTTTGTTACTTTCAAGGTTTTTTAAGTATCGGTTATTGGTGCGTTCGTGATAAAGTTTTCTTTCCGCGATAATCTATACAAGTACAATATTTGATTTTTGACAAGATTTTTTATATTAAACAGCAATGGTATTGTATTATATCACAGATATTTATAACATAATATTAATATTTAAAATAAATAATGTAATCCTACAAAGATTACGAGATTTATAGTTTTACATATAAAAGTGTTGTAAGGTTTAAAATAATGTGATAACATACTTTTTCCGTAAATCCATGCAATATTTTCAAGAGTTTTTTTTGTTTTCTTCCTTGTGGTGACAATGAGAATAATAAATCATTATACAACCAAGGCCTAAATCCTCTAAACCGAAATTCAATAAAACTGCATAATTTCAAATGATGATATAATTCTAATAATGTTATTTTGTAAAAGCCTTAATTAAAGACATCATGAAATTATTTTAATCTTTAATAACCATAGATTGTAAAGAATATATAAAAAATTTAAATCTATATATGTTACAAAAAAGTAGAATTTGTACTAAAAACTTTTTATTTTATCAAGGTTATAAAGTTTTGATCAAAGATAATTATTTTACAAATTTTGAATACAATTTATTTATTTTTTTATTGTTCTGATAATTTCAACATTTTAAAAATTACAAATAATTATGTAATGAAATATTTAGTGATACACATACAATAGATTTTGATTAAAAATTTTCGACTTGTAAACGAAGTGCCGTTTTCACTAATTGTAAGTTTCCCTTTACGTAATTATTCATTAATTAATTTATTTTTCAAAATGTATAATGTAATGTATCACAGTTAAAAGATCATAGATAGATTAAAAGTTAGAAAATAAGATTATAAGTTAAAAGAATTGAAATGAATTATAAGTTAAAATATCATATAATTATATTCTATATTTATAAATTACCTGTAAATAAATAATTCGGTTATATCGTGAATCGCATTTCGATACTTTTGTGGCACCTCGCCAAATTTTTGCAAAGAAACACCCATGACAGTTTCTACAAATGCATTTAATTAAAACAGTCGAAGATTATTTACAGGTGAATATTTTGTAGATTGCTTTTTTTCAAAAATATTGAATATTATCTATTTTTCCTTGTTGATTATTGATACTTCGTATAGAAACATTATAGAAACATTATTCTATATTTATTTGAAGTTATAATCACTTAGAATAAAATTCCTGTATAAATAATGCAAAATAAGAACCACTTACCGCATATCGCATTTAGCGTATGTTCACTAATAAATGATAATAAATCTTCTACAACTATCCCTCCGACATCTTTCAAAGATTTTGTCATGCAATCGCCCTCCTTGATTAAGGTATCAACAAACTTATTTAATATATTAAAATGGAACGCAGGTGTTAACATCTTTCGCCGCGCCCGCCACTTAATCGCTAAAACAGAAACAAGATAACATAAAATTGTGCTATAAAAGAGAAATTGCAAATATCAACGTAAATGTAATTATTATTTTATAATTATATCTTTTTGAATTGGCAGACAGAAATAAATTATTATAAATATATAATATATAATAGAAATAAATTATATAAATATATAATAGATAATATATAATGCACATATAATATATATAATATATATAATAAATAATGTGCATATAATATATATAATTTATATATATATATAATTATATTACATATAATATATAATATATAATATATAAATTAATAATAATTAAGTCTATTACTGATAGTACAATCTATTCGTGATAGTGTATTTGATTTAACTAAAAAGAATATCTCTAAAATTACCAGATAAAAATAAATTACTATAAATATCTAATGTTTAATAATAATATAAATATATAAATATATAATATATAATATATAAATATATAATATATAATATATAATATATCTAAATTAATATTAATTAAATCTATTACTGATATTACAATCTATTAGTGATGGTGTTTGATTCAACTAGAATATCTCTCTTATCTACTTTTATCATTTATAACAATATGTACGTGCATCACAGCGAAATTATCTCACCTGCAAATTTCTTTTTTATTAATTTTTGTAACATAGAGATATAAATTCACTATTTAGAATAATATTCTATTAGTGTTTTTTATCTTTAATAACAACAACTATAATATTTTTAATTTATTTAAATTTATTTTTAATTTAGATTCGCACATATAGATGACAATTCATCAGAACTTTTTTCTACGGTAGTGTAATACTAAAAGTACTTTTAATAGTTGTTGTTCTACACTTCCTGCGAAATCTCGCTTGTAAAAAGAAATATAATTTTGTAATCAGTGTAACTAATAAAAATTTAATAAAAGGAATCACAGCATAGTGACATCTATATCTCGCAGTTACCTTAGAGTTATATTGTGCACCGCAGATGATTAAAGATAAAACTAGATATGTAATATATTCAAGTCTAATTGTAACATTTTGTTTGATTTTTTGTGATCGGGCTTAAATAAAATGACGTTTTACAACAAATTGTAATAGAAAAGTATGTACCCAGTGAGCAATAAGTTATCAAAAAGAGTTCTTAAAGCATTCAGATTCAAGAGATAGATATCTGACAACTCTATCTAGATAACATTATGATATCAATAAGTCCTCTAATGCATCGATTTTAGAGGAAAAACGACACCACATACAGGACATTTGAAAGAATACTTCAATCTGACTTATTACAGATGTTAAGACATTGTTATCATTAATACTTTCTTTATAGGTTAGGTTAGGTCTTTATAGAATTATTTATTTTAAATTCAATTTGTTAGAAATTAAACTGATAAACAGTGATGCAAGAAGAGAATGAAGCTCAAACACACACAATCAGAGAGCTAGCGTCTTCTTTCTGGCACTACTGCTCGTAAGAGAAAAAAAATGTACTTTGGATTTAATGTTAATACTAGTTCTTTATATACATTTTTCATGGCAAATATTGAATATGAGTTAAGTTAAGAGTGGCTTGCCGCCTAGCGGTAAACAAAGAAATTAATGTAACAAGAAATTTTATAGATCCAACCAGAAAATACTAACCAAATCCTTATAGTAAAATCTATTAAATGTTCTAGTTATAAAAAATCGTGTCTTATCGTGATAACTAGAAATTCTTGTTTGATTTAACCAAAATGCCTTCAATCATATACGTCTTGTTGGTACAATCAAACGATTTTTCTCAGTGTAGATGTCTTTAAAGTTTCTAGTAAGTGAACTCTAAAGACATCTATAAGTAGACATCATAAAGAGCTTTTTTGAAAGACATCTTACAAAAAGATAATTTACTGATGTCATTTTCAAAAAAAATTAATGAAGTCTTCAAAAAGTTCTCTTAAAGACTTCTTCCTTTCAATAATGCTCAGTGGGTATGTACTTGTACATATGTTAACATTATTATATTATTACCTGTGCTAGTGAAGACACCTGTATTTAACCAGGGATGAACAACGTTATACAGAAAACTTTTTTCGATGTGCTTAGTGCTGCTTAGTATCTTCTGAAATCATCGGAAACAGAAAGAAATATGTATTATTCATTTATTATATCACTAAAATATCTTTTGTTAGATATACTGATATATTAGATACGCAAATAATTTATAAATTGTATCTCTGTATTTTATTTTAACCTCGATGGAGTATCAATTTGGATTTCATTTTTTTTAAGAAACACTTTCTATCAGTCTTTTAAAAATCTTTTTGTAAATCGCAAAACTCTTCAATCTAATTCAATCGTAATGTGTACAGAGAATGAAATTTCTTTTATTACCTCTAAATCATCTGGATGACGGATATTCACTACATATACAAAAAAAATTTTGATTTTAAGTATGGGATAATATTCATCAGGCAATTTATAGAAGAACTTCCATAATTTCTCTGAAAATTATAACTATACTATAAACATCTATACACACAAATGTTTTGACTAATTTTATTTTCAACATTAATGTGCACTTCTATCCAAATACGTTGAAAACAGATAAATAATAATAAAGAAAATGAATTGCAAATTGTTATTGCAAAGAGAAGTAATCTACATATAATAAACTTGATAAATATATGTTTCAGAATAAATGATTTATGAATTTTTGCTTCTGACACAGATTTCGTTTGTCAATTAATGTAAATAGGTTAGAAATTTTGTATTTACCTGTTGACACATAGAATTGGAGCGCATTGCCAATAATCGGAAAACCCGATGGTCCCGGTATAAGATTAAGAAGTTGCCCGTATTTTTTATAATACACATAATAATTATATACCAATAAAATAAACATAGAAAATACCAATATAGTAATGAACATTGTTTCTTAACTGTCCTGATGTTTCTTGACTATTTGATTAAGCTTCTTCCGTTTATTGTTTTTTATTCTTCGTACATAAAAATCGTATATAAAATGTCATATATAAAATAAATATTTTTTAATATATATAAAAATAGATATTCGATTTTTTCAATATTCGTAATTATCTTGATAAGTTAAATAAATAATATAATTATATAAACTATTTAATTATTGTTTTAAAGCTTATTTATTTATTTTATTTGTTCTTTTTGTTTATTTAATTATAGTGTATCGATTTTGATATCTAATAATATCGTATTAAACATTTTCTCACAATTAATATAATATTAGCATTTTAGAAGATAATAATATGAATATTGCAACATATTATATAATAATTTAATAAAATTATGACAATCAAATAAAATTAACAACTTATAATATTTGAAAGAAATTTGTGTTAAAATCATATTTTGTTTCACATTAATTATGCTATTAAATTGGGATTTTGCAATAAAATGTTATAAACTTTTATTTTATATAAATTTTATAAAAATTACCTGATAGATTCTATGTGCAACGATCAATGGAAACACATAACTCAAATGATTAATTTTAAGATAGAATTATAAATCTTGTTAAACAGATGCTTAAGTTTAACAAAGCTGCTTGAACTGATAATAGACATCTGAAGCGTGTATTTATATTGTTCTCCCACTCATGCGCATATTAATAATTAGAATTCTTAAGAATCTCTCAATAAATTGAATAATTCATTAATCAGTTCAATTAAAGATAAATAACAATTTTATGTTTATCTGAGAATATAAGAAAATGATTATGAAAACCATTTTGAAATTACATTTAATATTGCCAGCATTGATTAAAAATATCGATCGTTTCTATTTAAAATATATCGGTTTCATAATCAAGATGTCAATATCGATATTAACATAGGAAAAAAATTTTATTTTTTACATATTTTTACATCATTCTTCCTAACACTTTCAATTAAGTAAATATTTTTTTAAATAGGCGTGCTTTAGATAATAAATCATTTAGAAATTTGTCATCTCGAATTATCTTTAGCAAAGTTAACGAACAACGCTAGTTGCTATTTTTGAATTTTATTTCAATTTCAATAATTGCTCTTATCGTTTTTTTAATCGCATATTATATTTCGAGAGATTTTATTTAAAAAAACATGACAAAAGTATGATAGTCATTGATTTTACCTAATATTGTAAAAGTCAATTTTTTTAATGGGATATTTCAATGTAAGTGAATAATTTTTTAATATAAGAGGACAAATAAAGACATATACACATATGTATAATATACACATATGTGTCTCTTAATCTATATATTTAAAATTAATCAAAAAAAAATATTTGTGCCAGTCTTTTGTAAGTTTTTTTTAAAAAACTCATCTTTCTCTTTTCCTCTTTATTTTAATAAATTGTATTTTACTTATTAAAGCACATGAAAGTTTGATATAATAAGAAAATAATATAGAACAATAATAAAATTTCGATTTATTTATAGCTTTTAATCAACAGAATGAAATTCTCGTTCCGTATCTTCATTTCAGTTAAAATAAATCTCCATAATATTTATCTTACATTTGCAATAAAATAATATTATACATGGGATATAAACGAGAATCTCAAAGAAGTCCATTCAAAGATTTTAATTCGCTGAATACAAATTTTACATTTAAATATTATTAATTTTATGACTCGGTTATTTGCGTCTTTAAAAATGATTAACATTTAAAGAGCAACATGATAAAAACAAAGTGCACGATCACGAAGGAGTGGAAAAATTTGTTGCGCAAGAGAAAATTGTTGAAGTCTAGTTTATGGCTTATGTTTTTTTGTCTTATTTTTTAACAAAAAATAATGTTATTACTTTTGAAAATTGCTTTTATTAAGAATAAGGACAGATACAAGTACAATTACAGAATTGTATTCATTCGATTTAATATGTTTTTGAAATATTAAAGATGTTATACAAAGAAAGTATAAATCCGAAATTAATACAATATAAGAAACAGATATTATAAAGATGATAAAAGATTTAATTATCATTATAGTAGAATATATGTATTATAGTAGAATTATATATTATAATTCTACTATAGTTTCTACTTTAGTATTCTAATATAGTAGAATTATATATTATAGTAGAATATATGTATATGTAACATATAAAATACATAATCATATATATTGCAAATCATTTATCGAATATAACATTTTGGTTATATTAAAATATACTCCATAATGGTCTAATTAAAATATACTCCATAATGGTCTAATTATATGCTATATATATATATATATATATATATATATATATATAGCATATAATTAGTGATATATATATATATATATATATATATATATATATATAATTGTGAACACCAAAAAACGGTGATATATATATATATATATATATATATATATATATCACCGTTTTTTGGTGTTCACTGGTATATATATGTATATCCCAATGAACACCAAAAAATGGCGATAAGAAAGGACTGGTGTATAGCATAAAGGAATCTTAATTATTTGAATGCAACTTTTGCTCTTGCATTTACAAATAATTAATTTAATAAATATGCTGAGAAAAAAATATGGTTGCCGTTATCATAATTTAACTATAAAGTATAGTTATTTTTGGCGGCACCTACATTTATATAGTTATTTTAGCAGTGTGATTTATAACAAATCCAACAATATATTATTGTTATTGTAAAATTAGTATATTTTCATGTAACTATATGTATGGCACACACATAACTGTCATTTTTACATGGTAAGTGATACTATAAATATGATGCTACTAAAATGAAAGTAAAAGGAATTATATACTATAATAATAAATTGTATTTACATTAATAGTAAAATATTATATTTTTTATATACAATTAAGTTAACAATGTATGTAGTTCTCATAACTTTATAGCTTATAAGATACGTTCATTCACATTATGAAAAAAGTACTATATGTTATTAGGAAGAATTTAATTATATAATATATTTAAATTAATAAACAATAATGCTAGGAAGAGCGCTCTGATGCGCAGCACACGTGGCTCTTTGATGTACATGTAAGCAACGTCCTCTATTCTAGTATTACTACTCATAAGAGGAAAAAAAATATATTTTAGACTTCGTCTAAGTACCAATCTTTTATACACATTTCATAAAAAATTGAATACGAGTTAGTCATCATTTATAATGTCGCCGCGTAGCGACAAACGAAGAAACACGTGTCACACATCTCTTTTCAATTTCAATGATATTTATAGTATAAATTTGCAGTTAAAAACATAGTTAAATGAACTATTAATATAATCACAGAAATGTTTATATATATGATTACTTTTTTACCTTTTATAGTTATATAGTTTATCTTTTATATAGTAAACATATTGAAAAATAATAAATAGTGAAACGAATGTCAAGAATATGGTTACATTTATCATAATTGTGATTGTGTAGATTATGAAAAATGGTTATTTAATATACCATATGTTACTTGATATTTTACTATATTAATATTTCATATTATCATAATTTATAGTAAAATTTTTACCTTGATGGGCTGAACTCGTATAAAGCTATTCGTATAAAGTTATTTTTACTAACATTCTAGTTACAATAACTATAAAAATGATAATTGCAACTATAATTATTTAACTATGCAATCATATTTGTAAATACCAAACACTTTTCAGTGTGCGCAAACGTTACCGTTAGAAACATATACAAGGTGTCCCAAAAGTCCCGGACCGGTCGAATATTTCATAAACTATGCACTTTAGAGAGAAATGTTTTAGACAAAAGTTGTATGGCTTGGAGGGGGCCATCAGACAGTGGCAATGATTTGACCTTGGAGAGTCATTTGAATGTGACGTAAAGGTGAAGGAATTAAATTTAAAGTTGTACGATAATGTGGTGATCTTTCAAAATACACTACATCTTTCAAATGTATAATTAAAACATTTATCACCTAAAATTGAAAATGGACAAAGAAAAAACATAAAAATATTATTTCGTATAACAAAAAAAAAATTTAATTTAATTAACTTTCTTGACAAATTTAAACTGCTGCAGATATAAAAATATAATCACAGTATTGTAAATCGATTCAAGTATATGATGAATATATTTCGTCGATTGAAAATTATTTCGAAGAAAAAGATTGTAGTTACCAAAAAAAAAAATAGAAAACAATTCATTAATCCAAAGAAAGAAAACTTGTTACAGCAAATAAAGATGAAAATTAAAACAGCAATCATGATCCACTATGGCGTCCTCTAATCATCGAAATAGATATCTATAAATTTTAACACCTTAATATATGATGCGTGTATTATTTCGAGAAAAAGATATTCATTTTCATCCAGCGCAAAACTCGTGTGGGAAATGTCGATTGCATCGATTAAAATTTTCTTTAATTCTATAAATAAGACGCAAAAAAATAACTGTTTTATTAGCTTTGCACACATATATTTTATGGATAAACGTTTTTATTGTGATTGCACATGATAGAGGATCCTTACATACGTTAAATTTGGGTATATAGAGTTCTGATTTATAAGATTTTTATGTATATATTTTAATAATTAAACTTAATGTTTACATAATATTTTCCCCTCATAATGTTGAACGTATAATATGCATAACAATTTTCTTCGATTTTTCCCACTGCATCATCTTGTTACACTCTTGCAATATCCACGTTATTTTTAAACGGCTGTTTGCATTTGATCGGGATGAATCTTATATGAACCGGATGAGCAGGATGCATTACTAAATCAAGCAATAATCGAATATTTTTTAAATACTCAACAGGTTCCAAGTAAAAATTATATATCAAAGGAGCTATCATAGCTTTCATCATCAGCAAACCGAGACGTTGACCTACAATTTGAAATTTATGATAAATTATCGATACGAAGAAAAACGAAAATCGCGATCAATTCACCTATGCAATTTCTCGGTCCTGCGCTGAATGGTATATAAGAATAAGGATGACGATTCTTTATCCTTTCGGGTAAGAATCTGTCTGGATCAAATACATCTGGATTTGGCCAAAAATTGGGATCTCTGTGAACTGCGTAGATATGAAGACCTATGGTCGTTCCAGCAGGTACGATATATGATTCTGAAAATTATTATAAAATTGAAAAATACTAAAATTCACGAAAATAAGAGCTTCTTTGAGAAAAATAAAATATAACAATATTGTACTCTTAAAATTCTAATTAATCTTACTTTTCATTCAATAATATATACTCCATACTATGTAACATATTCAAAAATATATGCAGCAAAAAGTGACTATAATTACGTAATTTTACAGCATCCCCAGTCTTGCGTAATATCCAAGACACGCTGGGATACAAACGTAGCGCTTCCTTTAAACATCTGTCTAAATATGATAAATTTTGTAATGACTTCGTGTTAAGTTTCCCTCCATTCTCTTGCATCACAGTATCGACTTCAGCCCTCACACGCTCCTGTGTCATCAATAATATAATGAAAATGTATTTCTCAATTCTGATTTTCAGTGCACAGATAAAAATAAATTCTTAATGAATCAAATTCTAATATATCTAGGAAAAATATATCGTAACAAGAATTTGATATCTTTATTACGTTGAATAAAAGTCTTAAATTATATATGGCAATATATTGCGAGAAATAGGTACCTGGATATCTTTATGCTCAGCTAAGAGAAGTAAAGCAAACATTATGCCCGTCGCTGTAGTATCATGACCCTATAACCATCATCATATACATATCGTTATATTGTTATACATACTTAGACATCATGTACAAAAAATTACTTAGATATCTTAGATATCATGTACTTAGATACATACTTAGATATCATGTACAAAAAAAAGTTTACAGATACATACTGCAAATACGAAAGTGTCAACTTCTTCTCTGATATCCATATCAGTTAGAGAATTTTCTCGAGATGCCGCTATTAAAAGGTCCAGCATGGCTAGCCCATTTTTTTTAACTAAAAAAAGCATATTAATTACAATTTCACTTTTACATGTCACACTTTCATTATACAATAACAGTTCTTGTTTAAAATTTAAACTCTATTATACAAATAATAATGATTTAATTTTACAGCAAACATATGTTGTATTATTACATGTGATTATGTGTTTAATATAAATAATGCAAGCATAATGTATAATATTAAATTAATTGCGCAGCCAAACTTAAATTAGAAGCTCTGATCTCTTACGTACTTCCAAACTCTTCGAAATTTTCTGTCTCTTTGTTACTTTCAAGGTTTTTTAAGTATCGGTCATTGGTGCGTTCGTGATAAAGTTTTCTTTCCGCGATGATCTATACAAGTACAATATTTAATTTTTGACAAGATTTTTTTATATTAAACAGCAATGGTATTGTATTATATCATAGATATTTATAACATAATATTAATATTTAAAATAAATAATGTAATCCTACAAAGATTACGAGATTTATAGTTATTTTACATATAAGAGCGTTGTAAGGTTTAAATTAATGTGATAACGTACTTTTTCCGTAAATCCATGCAATATTTTCAAGATTTTCTTTTGCTTTCTTCCTTGTGGTGACAATGAGAATAATAAATCATTATACAACCAAGGCCTTAATCCTCTAAATCGAAATTCAATAAAACTACATAATTTCAAATGATGATATAATTCCAATAATGTTATTTTGTAAAAGCCTTAATTAAAGCCATCATGAAATTATTTTAATCTTTAATAACCATAGATTGTAAAGAATATATAAAAAATTTAAATCTATATATGTTACAAAAAAGTAGAATTTGTACTAAAAACTTTTTATTTTATCAAGGTTATAAAGTTTTGATCAAAGATAATTATTTTACAAATTTTGAATACAATTTATTTATTTTTTTATTGTTCTGATAATTTCAACATTTTAAAAATTACAAATAATTATGTAATGAAATATTTAGTGATACACATACAATAGATTTTGATTAAAAATTTTCGACTTGTAAACGAAGTGCCGTTTTCACTAATTGTAAGTTTCCCTTTACGTAATTATTCATTAATTAATTTATTTTTCATAATGTATAATGTAATGTATCACAGTTAAAAGATCATAGATAGATTAAAAGTTAGAAAATAAGATTATAATTTAAAACAATTGAGATGAATTATTAGTTAAAATATCATATAATTATATTCTATATTTATAAATTACCTGTAAATAAATAATTCGGTTATATCGTGAACCGCATTTCGATACTTTTGTTGCAACTCGTCAAATTTTTGCAAAGATGCACCCATGACAGTTTCTAAATGCATTTAATTAAAACAGTCGAAGATTATTTACAGGTGAATATTTTGTAGATTGTTTTTTTTCAAAAATATTGAATATTATCTATTTTTCCTTGTTGATTATTGATACTTCGTATAGAAACATTATTCTATATTTATTTGAAGCTATAATCACTTAGAATAAAATTCCTGTATAAATAATGCAAAATAAGAACCACTTACCGCATATCGCATTTAGCGTATGTTCACTAATAAATGGTAATAAATCTTCTACAACTATCCCTCCGACATCTTTCAAAGATTTTGTCATGCAATCGCCCTCCTTGATTAAGGTATCAACAAACTTATTTAATATATTAAAATGGAACACAGGAGTTAACATCTTTCGCCGCGCTCGCCACTTAATCGCTAAAACAGAAACAAGATAACATAAAATTGTGCTATAAAAGAGAAATTGCAACGTAAATGTAATTATTATTTTATAATTATATCTTTTTGAATTCGCAGATAGAAATAAATTATTATAAATATACAGGGTGACCCATTTTAACTTAGGCAGCCAAATAACTCGAAAAATAAGCACACTACGAAAAAATGGTTAGAATCAAAATTTCATCATTTCGAGGGGGACGTACAATGACGTTAAAATCAGCCTCCCCACCCCTTCCCCTGGGCGGTGAGGGGGGGCAAGTTTGAAATCTTAAATGGGAACCCCTATTTTTTATTGCATATTCCTGTAGCTTATCTCGAGAGCTTTCCAAAACACTATAATTAAGTACCTTTTTATTAAGTACTTTTTGAGTTATAAGGCTTGAAATAATTTCTTAATTTTACATAAACCATAAAATATCTAGTAAACCATTCATTTTTCGATTATCTTACCTTCATACTTTTATGTACAAAATAATGAGAGGAATCAATTGGTGTAAAGAAAACATACAGTTGTTTTTAAGAAAAAATATGGAATTGTTAATTGCAAATTACATATTTTTTCTTAGAAACAACTATGTGTTTTCTTTACACCAATTGATTCCTCTCATTATTTTGTACATAAAAGTATCAAGGTAAGATAATCGAAAAATGAATGTTTACTAGATATTTTACGGTTTATGTAAAATTAAAAAATGTTTTCAAGCCTCATAACTTGGAAAGTACTTAATGAAAACTAACTTAATTATAGTGTTTTGGAAAGCTCTTGAGATGAGCTACAAGAATATGCAAAAGCATATAGGGTGTCCCATTTAAAAAGTTGGAGCTGACCTTCGCGTGTCCTTCAGGTGGCTCTTTAAGATCAAACTAATGATACCATCTTATGTCCCCATTGAAACCATACAACTTTTGTCTAAAACATTTTTCTCTATCTTGCTTAGGATCCGAGAAATTTAGGTGGTCGGATTAAAATGAAAACACCCTGTATATATATATAATTATGTTACATATAATATATAATATATAATATATAAATTAATAATAATTAAGTCTATTACTGATAGTACAATCTATTCGTGATAGTGTATTTGATTTAACTAAAAAGAATATCTCTAAAATTACCAGATAAAAATAAATTACTATAAATATCTAATGTTTAATAATAATATAAATATATAAATATATAATATATAATATATAAATATATAATATATAATATATAATATATCTAAATTAATATTAATTAAATCTATTACTGATATTACAATCTATTAGTGATGGTGTTTGATTCAACTAGAATATCTCTCTTATCTACTTTTATCATTTATAACAATATGTACGTGCATCACAGCGAAATTATCTCACCTGCAAATTTCTTTTTTATTAATTTTTGTAACAGAGATAAATTCACTATTTAGTATAATATTCTATTAATGTTTTTTAACTTTAATAACAACAACTATAATATTTTTAATTTCAAGTTTATATTTAATTCAGACTCGCATACATAGATGACAGTTCATCAGAGCTTTTTTTTACCGTAGTGTAATATTAAAAGTACTTTTAGTAGTTGTTGTTCTACACTTCCCGCGAAATCTCGCTTGTAAAAAGAAAGCTAATTTTGTAATCAGTTTAACTAATAAAGATTTAAGGATAAAGATAAAAGGAATTACAGAACAGTGACATCTATATTTCGCAGTTATCCTGAGTTATATTGTGCACCGCTGCGGATTAAAAATAAAACTAGATATGTAATATATTTAAGTCTAATTGTAACATTTTATTTGATTTTCTGTGATCTGGCTTGTAAACGAAGTGACGTTTTCACAACAAATTGTAATAGACTAGACAACACAAAGCGCGCGCCATTTATTCCTTTTATTATATATACATTTCTCACTGTCACACAAGCTATCAAAATTTGTAATAATCGCAAATGACAGCTGCTCACAACATGAATTGAGCGCAATAAAAGAACTAATTGGCATCGCGAAAAGAGGCAACAATACTTCGAGACTTTCGAGAATCGACTTAACATGCCTTTTTTAGAATAGGATTATATTATATGAATCTATGATGCAAGGAGAAGAACGACCCACCTTCATTCAAACAAGTCATACAAGAAACAATTAAAAAACAGGCTCTAATAAACTTCCAAATTGGATTGCGAGACGAATTAAAAATTCTCGTGCGTTCACGCAACATCACGCTCCAAAAAGCGATAAAGGACGCGAGCACAGAAGAGAAGCTTATCGGACCGTCTATCACACGAGCACCTGGCTTCTCGAATAAAAATAAATTTGATACTGAACACGCGCGACCAATTCGAGACACAAACATACAATGCTATAAATGCGGAAATTCTGGACACTACATTAGATATGTAGATGTGGAGACATGGAGAGATGGAGATATGGAGATGTGGAGAAATGGAGAAGTGGAGATGTGTCATCTCAAGACTGCATTGAAATTATATTTTTAATTTAAATTGAAATGTTTTGAGAAACAATCATAATGTATTACGATAGACGCGATGATTGACATGATAATTTTTATGAAAATAAATAGGAAAGAATGCATGCGACTATGTTTACAGATATGGAGATGTGGAGACATGGAGAGATGGAGATATAGAGATGAGGAAAAATGATGAAATTGAGATATGAAGAAATGGAGATATGGAGATGTGCAGAAGTGGAGATATGTCAACTCGAGACTACGTTGAAGTTATATTATTACTTTAAATTGAACTGTTTTGAAAACAATCATAATATATTATGATCTATAAGATGAATGACTTGATAATTTTTATGAAAATATATAATAGATGATGCATGCGACCATGTGTAAATGATATACAGATATGGAGATGTGGAGAAATGGAGAAATGGAGAAAATGAGATATGGAGAAATGGAGATGTGGAGAAATGGAGAAATGGAGATGTGAAAAAATGGAGAAATGGAGAAGTGGAGATATGCCATCTCGAGACTGCATTGAAGTTATATTTTCAAATTTAAATTGAAATGTTTTGAGAACAATGTATACTCATGTATACATGACATGTATACCAATGACATATGTTCCTTTAAATTTACGTACGATTTTTTAAACTTTAAACTTTATTTCAGATCAAATTTAAATGTTACACTTTTATTGTTAATTTTTAAACATATTACTTGTGTATATTATTTTTAAACATATTACTTGTGTGTGTTATTTATTTACATACTTGTCTTCTGTTAAATTACATTAAAAATTAGAGTGGTAAATTGTGACATGTAAATA